TGTTGCTTCACACTGCTCAGATGACAGTTTGTCATCCAGTTTATGCAGATTCCTGATCTCAGTGCAACTCTGACCACTTCTGGTTCTAAAGCAACACTATCAAAGTGAAGCTGGCTCTGGAAGACACTGTGGTTGTCTGATTTTATTGATTTCAAATATGCACAAATCCGTAATAGTTGTCCAGTCTTCAGTGAAGGAGTTTCAACTTGTATTGCAACTTTTTCCTACTAACAAACAGAAAATTTCACTAAAAAGCCATCTGTGATTTGGTCATAGTCAAGTCACCCTAGGGTAAATATAGTATGCTGGTAATGGTGCCAGGCCCCATTACTTTCACAAGGCCACCAGAATTCCAAACAGCTGAAAAGAAAGAGCCGTATTTACTTGATTTTAAAGAGGTGACAAGTCTTGGGTCATCCTGTGGCCGTATTGAGTTTCTCTATCTGTAGCCTGTAAGAGCAAACTGTGTTTCCTCCATCACACTACTACAAAGAAAGCTGCAGCATTGATTCTGAGGCAGTACTGATGCTTTCTGCTATCAGTAATCACCTCCCTGAAGCCCACACTTGGATTGTGGGTTTTTAAAATGATGCCCATATGCGGTACTGTGCCAGTTTGACCACCTACTTATTTCACCATGACATTTCACTGGATTGTTTCACTTGGATCATATAGAACGACCAAAATATATTTTTAAAACCACAACTTTGTTTTTTTTTTTTTTTAAATGCTTCTTAAAAATCCAATTGTTAGTTTCTTTATCCATTAATTTCTGACATTGTTTTAGCTGTATTTCAGTAGTGGTGAGACATTAGAAATGTGCTTTTCTTGTGTTTAAACTTAAAGTTGGTGAAATGTACTTGCTGCCACTTAAGGTCAACTAATCTAATTGCTGCTCATGTGGATTAAAGCCTTCAGTAGGATTAAAGTCACTGGTCAGTCTTTCACAGGACCAGCAGCCAGAAGAGCGATGTTTGCCCACATCAATATATAATGCACTGTGCAACAGTCTTGAACAATCCCTCATTTCTTTATGTTTTGCTTCCAAGGAGATAGTTTATTGTATATTTTCATTCTTCAAACTAGTCTTGAGCTTTTTGAAGGTCTTTAACCCTTTCATGCATGAATTATGACAACCTCAAGCAGGATTTTTTTTCTTAAGTATTTTTTTTATTCATCTTTAGGCATGACAAAACTATTTTTGAACTTCATTTTTTAACATGTACTTTTCAGAGAGTTTCTTTTACATCCATTTAGGTGGACAACATATGTTTTGACTTATGAATTTGGTATTTCCAAGTATACCATCAACACTGACACAAATACAAGAAAACAGCCTTTGAATAGCTATCCTCTGTAGTGACCACTATAAGTGAAAGGGTTAAAAAGTCGTTGTTGTTTTTTTGTTGTTTTTTTTGGGGGGGGTGTTTGTTTGTTTGTTTTTGTAGCTGACCATTTTCAGAGGAGTTATTTTGTTGTTGTTCTTTTGTTTTTCTTAAGCTGTTTAACCCTAACCTATGAATCATTCATGCACAAAAATGCACCTAACTCAAGGGATGGACCAGTGTTGTTTACACATAACAGACAACTTGGCAAAGAACCAATTTTAAATCGTGTCCTTAGGCACTTTATCACAAAAATACAATTTTTTTTTCCTTGAATCTTCAAAAAAATCTTCAAAGAAGCTACTTGGTTACATTTCAGCCAATGGTGCTGGAAATTCTCTCAAAAGTAATTGAAGTATGACTACAGAAAATAAATTCCAGGTTGTAATCCACCATAAAAAAAGCACATTAGTGGGAACAGTTTTGTTTTTTTAAGCATGACAAAGATCCCATATTTCCTATGCAATAACAGCTTATGTGGATAAACAAATACACAGCGGAAGAGTCTCAGTCATGGATTGGCCTCCTCAGAGCACAGACTTCAGCATTATTGAAGCAGTGTGGGTTCACGTTCTCATGACAGGGAACAAATAAAAAGACTACTTAAATAAATTACAAAAAATATTGTCTAAGGGAGTTCAGACTGTGAGGTTTAACCCCTTAGCAGTCCTATTAGTCCCCTAAACCATCCAATGTCCCGTGGGCGGTACGTCCGACTGCTAACAGTTTAAGGACCAGATATTTATGTTCAAGCTTATTGGAATTGTTATTGCCTTATATACTGTATTTGCTGCTGATTGCTGTAGACTACCTGAAGAGCCTGTTCTAGCATTTGACACACTTTTTTCATGGTGGAAGTTTGGAAGTAAAGACTCCTGGTATGCAACAACCGGTTTAATTGAACTGGAAAACTTTTAAGAAACAGCCAGGTGAACCGTTCTCCTGTTCATTTTATTTATGTATGTTTTTTTTAATTTTTTAAAGAAGGTAAGTAAACTGGCTCTGGCCATGTATTTAGTATGCAGACAGACTATTGATTCATGCAAATCCAGGCCTATTACTCCATTGGGTCCATCTTTGATATATGAATACCTCCTATATGTATGTAAAGAGATTCCAAACCATCTAGTGAACCCTCACGTTACATGTAGATGCCAGAAAGAGTAAGACTAATATGAAACACAGCTTGACTTTGAACCTTTACAACCTTGTTTTAACATTTTACGTCTGCTTAAAACAATTGACAGATTTGTCATTAGAGAAAATAGCTCCTGAAAGACTCATGCTTTCAGTTGTTTCCAATTCATTTTTATTCATAAAGCAGTGTGAAATTACCGACTGGAGACAATTTTCTCCTACATTGTAGGATTTGTATGAGCTGAAATTGAATGCTTTATGCATCAAGATTATTTGGCAAATAAAAACCCCACTTAAATGATTTTCCATGCTAGGGCTTTTATTTTGCAGTCACACCAAATTCCCTATGATTTAGGCTCCAATGTGCCATTATTTGAAATATTGTTAGGGTCTGTTATCTTGCCTCCTGAGTCTGTGGCTGCTGTACAGCCTGTATCTAAATCTATTGAATTAATACTGCTGTGAAGGAGGTGGGAGCCAGAACCATGGCAACCATCAGCTCAGATTAGTGTGGGATGTGAGCTGGCAGGAGACATGCACACACCACACATACTATACACTTGCATACGCAAACAAATCAATATCCGTGCATGCCTTGCCAAATAGAGCCTGCCCGCTCTCCACTCTAACAGATACAGATGTTCATTTGTTGTACTGATTGAGTTGAGGTCTGTCTTTATTTCACAGCGATACCAGAATCTGTGTAAATGGTTTAGAAATGATATCACTTCAAACTGGTTGCCCTCAGTACTTTGATTAATGTAGTTTATCTCCTTTTCTGCTGTTGAATTGAACAAAAGGGATGCTCTAATGTAGTAGTCATCGGCAAGCTCCCAAACCCCCAAAACAACTGGACACTGGATACTGGACATCGGGCTGGTACTACCAGACTTAATAACAAGGAATATCCATTCAAAGTCAGTAAGAACCTACTGTTTTGCAGGAGCAACAGTCAGCAACATAATTAACAAGATCCCAAGTTTGTTGGATGAACATCCCACGGCTACATGGTGTGTTCTAACATCAGCAATCAGAGCTACTGAAACAGACTTTTACACGTCTCTTTAACTTACGTGAATATTGTTGTGAAAATCTTTCTAAAATTCCTGTTTTGTTCCAGTGTTGGTTGATAGTGTTGGTCAGTTCTCCAGATTCCTCTGGAAATACTTTAAAACTTCGTCTTTGAGAAACTTTTTCAAGGAAGTGATAAAGTTCTGTTTTTGAAAATCACTAAGAATTCAGATATTTGCAAGACTTTTAAATTGCACTTAATTTTAGCTGGACTATTTTATATACACTTGTTATCTAACACTATAGAGGTTGCGTTAGATAACAAGTGTAGCTATAATATTAGAATTTTTTTTCTTTTACTTTGATAAGCCATAGGGAGGTCTGCAGTAAACTGGCCACCTTAAACCCAAAGAAATCTAAGACCATCTTTCTTTACCTTAATGCCTATAAATCATATTCTTAATTTAACAGCCGCTACAAGCTACTTTTTGACCTTCCCCAAGGGACCCGTTTCTCCTCCTAAGATGGACCAGGGATATTTCATCTGTTAAGCAAATGTTTAAGACACTGCACAGTGGAGCCACTTAAGACTTGGTACAGGCAAAAATCCAGAAGTGTTGAATCCTGCACAGGTGCTCCTACTCCATAAATGTGGTAATAGTGATTTGAATAATTACCCCCAATACCCCCAATCTCAAAACTGTCTTGCCAAGCCAAAAACAAAGAAAAAAACTCATTACTTATTATTGCCAATGAATAACTTTATGATAGAATTCAGGAAATTTCTTCCAAGGATTTCAGGTCAAGTCCATTTACTCTTTATACAGGTGTTCCACAGGGACCCATTCTGGGACCTTTCTTATTCACCCTCTACAAAAACAATATTATCTCTCTCTGCCACCCAAAACTGTAATGTATATTTCTATGCAGATGACACTGTTTTATTTGCCACTGGCTCGTCTGTTGATCTGGCCATTGAAAATATACAATCTCCTTTTGAAGCTTTTCAGAACTCTTTTATCACACATGAACTTGTTTTAAACTCTGGGAAAACTAAGTGCTTGCCATTTATAAGGACCCCTGAAAGTATCCAGCCTGTAGAGGCTAGATGTTAGACTCTCTTTTAAAACTCATGTGGAACACCTATCAGGAAAATTTAAAGACAAAGATTGTATTCTTATATAAAAAAAACAATTATTTTTCTTTTTATTCACGAGTCTCAAGATCATTGTACATTTATCTACAATCCACAGTTTTGGCTGTGCTTGATTATGCTGGAATATGCTTCTAAATCCATCTAGAACCCTCTTGATTCTTTTGGCTATTGTTTGTTATAAAATATGTAGGTATACTTTTCAAAATACTACCTCCTGCCCCTGCCTAACTGTCTGCAAGATATCTGGTTTTTATTTTGGGTGGATTAATTTAAGTACATTCTTGGCTTTAACCCTCCTTTTCTTCTGGCAGGACGATGAGGTGGTGCTCCAGAGTGTGGCCACCATCCAGAAGGAGCATCGTAAGTTCTGCCTGGCCGTCGAGGGACTTGGAAACCGTCTATGTTACCTGGAATCAACATCTGAAGCTAAGGTGAGGATGCCCAAAAGCTTTGTTTACTGTGCTACTGAAGAGCATAGCAAATCTGATGTTGTTTACATATGTTGATTGCATATTAAACTAAAATTCATAGCTACTTATATTCAGAGTTGCCTCCCAGTAGTTGACCTGTGCAATTGCCTTGTGATTGAAAGTGTTCGCCTACTTCAAACTGGTCTCCAACAGGAAAAAAAAATTTCAGTGTAGTTAGTGGATTTTTCTTTCCACTGAAACGAGGCAGTTGAGGTCTCATTTTGACTGAGCCATCACGCAGGGCTGGAACCCAAGCAGCAACCCCCTGGAAAACTGCAGTTGCTAATGTGTATTCCCTAGCCAGTTTCAATGCGGTGGCTGGAGGTTCCTGGTTATCGATATGTGAAAGTTGTCGCCCTCCCAAAAACCTCTTTCTGATTGCTTTAATTGCTAGTGAACTGCATGATCATCTATAGTTTACATGGAAAACACTGGCTTGTCTTCAAACACTTGCTAACTACTTGCCAAGCGGTAGTCCGGTTTCACTAGCATCGTGCTGTGACCAATTTAACTTTGTAACAGCAGGCAACCTCTGGCAACCACTTGCCAACTACTTGGGAAGTACATTTTCTACCTTAGCAGTAGATCGTTGCCAGGGGGTTGTGCTGTTATTGTCTGCATAATTTTTTTCCCCTTATTTTTCAAACAACAGAGGTTTTCATCCATTCTTTGAAAGGTGTATTCTTTATCATTAATTTAACAGACGATTTCAATAAATTTGTATAATTTAGTTTCATACGAATAATTACTGCTTCGCACTTTCTGACTTAACATGGGACAAGTATTACAGCTCAGTGATCAAAACATAAAAAAGCTAAATATTTTTTCAGATTAGTTTAGCTTCTAGATTCAAGTAAAATTTGTTATTAGTGAACAGCCAGAAGTTTTAAGAGGCTGTAAGAAGCTGTTTTCTTGATTTAGCGGCATATTAAGGTTTTGGAAAACCTCATATCTAATGTTCAGTAGTCTTCAAATATATTCATCTGAGCAGCTTGCTTTCTTGAAATTGCTTCAGATAAGAATATTCTGACACAATTACACATATTCTCTCTTTTATTGTTTAAGAAAACTCATCTAATGGGATTAATCATACAGGCAGTTGTTCAACACCAATAGCGCTCTGTTGGCATCTCAGTTTTCTTGTCTTACATTATCATCGAGCAATTAAGCCGAGAACTGTTACTCACTGGACATTTTCTGGTTTTCTGACCATTCTCTGAAAATCCTAGGAGTCGTTGTATGGGAAAATCCAAATTCTGAAATGCCAAAAACTATTCCACATACATTCAAAATAACTTAAATCAAGTTTCCTCTACTCACTTGGAACTTTAGCAGATCACCTTGACCCTGTCCGCCTGGCTAAATGCTGAATAAGTTGTTATGTCATTGTGTTAACAAGCAGTTGAACAGCTTTAACTAATGAAGTGGCCATTAGTTATATCCGATGGCCACACAAACCTGGCTCTGCGGTGTTTTTTATGAGATGTGCATATTGGAGGTTTTAATTGGGCCACTGAGCATTATGACTTTGAATAAATTTTCTGGACCTGTGGGTATATTTTTGCTCACTCACCTGAAACTGTTGAGCTGGAGGGCAACACCTGCAGAGCTCTAGACAGACTGTCATGAGCACCTTTCACCTTGGGATCAGTGACAATGCTTCTGGCCTCCTTGAGTGTGAAATGTGGTCGAGAATTAAGGCCGATAGCTGTGATTTTGCACGAAGTCTGCTAGCTTATCTCAGGTGTTGACACCTCCATTTCCAAGACTCTAACGAAGCCTGGCTGCTTACCAGTGCCAGAGAAAAGGCCAAAGTGAAACAAGGGCTTTTGAGACAATGTTTTAAATATAATGTTTGCATTAATATGTTATATTATAAGCAATACTTCAGATACATTGAAATCTTGTGTTATTTTATGTTTTTTTAGCCACCATTCTTATAAACAAAGAAACAAAATCTGGTTCTTAAGGTTGTTGTTGTATAAGATACTATAGTCAGACTTACAAAGACCATGACTATTAGTAAGCTACATTTTTAAATATGACCAGATATATCAAATAAAATGAAGTGACTTGACAATAGAATCACTATTGTAGTTGGATCTCTTCTGAATAGTTTTCATAAGAAATGGTATTCTTATGGAAAATCCTGTTCCTAAAGGATTATTTTACCCATTTTTATTGAGCGAAGCTCGCTCTGGAGGGCACGAAAGACATGAAACTTTCTAAAGGTGAATGTGACCACAGTGAGACACAGTGTCTGCTCTGCCCAGACCAGTCGGCGTGATCAGAGTGTCTTCCCAAGCCTGGAAGAAGTATGATAATTGGAAAATTGGTGGTGAATAATTCATAAGAGGTGCAAGGTTTGCAGCAGGTTGCGAGTTAGCACTGTAGAAGGTCGCATGACACCACAGGTGTAGCTGCATCGTGTCAAGACAAAACTCAATTTTAAAGTGAGCCTTTCTCAGTTTTATGTTCTTTGGGGTTTCTAGCCTTTAATAAAATGTTTTTTCATAACATAGCAAATGTGGACATCTTATCCTAATGTACATGAAGGTAAAGAGAACCATAAACATCTGAGTGGACAGCAATTGTGTGCAGGTTGTTGGTTTTGGGACGCAATGAGACGGTTGCATACACAGACACCCTGTGGCTTTAGAGGTTCTTGTGCATGTTTGTGTTAAGTTGCACGGCAGCCCCATCCTCATTATCACCCAGCAGCCCTCCCCTCTGCTCACATTTCTCACCTCACTGCAGCGGTCGAGGGTCAGACGGTTGTGTTACTCACTAAGGGCAATCACCCAGTACCTTAAATCACTGCTTGTAATCTTCTTTGCTGGAAAGAGATGGACATGATATATGATAGTCATGTTAGGTGAAGGTGACTGTTATGAAATGGAGATAAATCTGGGAGACACTGACTTAGAGCTATTTTGTTTTTGTACTTACTGTTTAACATGTCTTGTGGCCAGTGTAATGTTAATCAACAGTGCCATCTAGCAAATCACAAAGTATATATATATTTTTTTACTTTGACAAACAGATGCTAATGAATGGGCCAGCTTTAGTACTGCATTTGAGTTACAAGTAATTTGCAGTACATATTATATATCTTTAAATGTCTTATTTTGTTCTCGAAGACCATCGCTATGAAATTTTTGAATAAACTTTGTATTTTTTACACAATCATCACAGGACCACATAACGCCCTGTTGTTGAAAAACTTTCATCACTGAATAATTTATAGAAGGCAGTTATTACTAAATTAACTGAAGCATAGCAAATGTGCTCTTCACTCTAAAAGCCAAATCTGATGCCTATTACAACAGAGTCAAACAACCCTGAGCCTTGAGGAATAAGGTCTAGCCAGACTAATAACTGGTCATTGTAGCTCCAGGCTGCACAGTTCCTCATAATCCCAGGATGGCAAAGAAGATGTGAGTTATTAGAATTATTTATGAGTGCCAGGAGTTTATATATTTCACTTGATTTGGTCTAAGATAAGGGCTTGCAACTAATTCAGTAACCATTTATTTCTGTAAACAATTCTGCAATGTCGATCACATGTGCTTAAATAAATCAGTATATTTCAGCTCAAAGTAAGGTTAACATACATACTAACACCGCATGTTAAAAATTTGTATCTAAAATCTAATACACAAATGTAATTTCAATGCCCCTATGCTATTTAACCAGTATCATATTTATCCTCATATTTAGTTGCTGGTTTTGGATTAAAGCTACGTCACACTGTGACATTTATGTAGGCCAGCGGTTTGTTTGGATGGTGCACGTCATCCGAATTATTAAATACATTTATAGAATAAGTTTCATAGTCAGTACGAGGTTTCTTCAAAGGTTGTGTCTCTGAACTTTTGAGTCTCAAGTTCTTTTTATATCAACCTATTTTCATCTCTGGAAAAAAGTACTCCAGATTAGGGAAGCTGGGTGCAGAGGCCCTGCAGATGACATGAAAGGAAATTCTAGGAGGGTAAACTTTGTTCACATTTTTATTTATTTATTTTATTTTTGTACTGAGAAGAGTCTGATTTTGCTCAAAATACCTACATTCTCCAACTTTGATTTTGTTCCTCCTGAGCTTTTGTCCTTTCCTCATTCCCTGCATGCTAATTTTTTCTTTTTCTTTTACTCTGTCATGCAGTATGTTCCTCCGGACCTTTGTGTCTGTAACTTTGTGCTGGAGCAGTCACTGTCAGTGCGAGCTCTGCAGGAGATGCTGGCTAACACTGGGCAGAGCAGCGAAGGGGTGAGTACATTCCTCCTCCCCACTGATGCCCCCTTGTTCTCTATCTAATGCATACAAACACACTCAAATGCTTGCAAGACAAACACATTCATGCACACAAACCTAAATTAATCAGTCTGTAATCTATCATTAATAGTCTGTTGTAAGATGAGCTTGAGCTTTTTTTTCTTTTCTTAACAGTAAACGTCTTGGTATTTAATAAGGCGTAATATCAGTGTAAATTAACAATATTCTTCATTCCCTTTTCAAGCTAACACAATTTACCTTATTGTTATTTATAGTTAATCAACTTTAAAAGCTGGCCCTCACAGTCAGAGCAGTCAAAGTACTGGAAATATAAATACATGAAATCTACTTCAAGGGGCTTCTCACTTCAAACACTGGAATTTTTTGCAGGCCTCCCAGTCAAGGCTAATTCCAACCTTTACACCTATTTAAAGGCTGATTTTGAACATCAAATGAAAATCCAGCTGGTCAATGACAGACATTAATAGGCATAACAGAACCTGATCTGACCAACTAAACTAACAGAACTCCATGTTTGTGAAAGCTACCTGGATATTTGTTTTATGGCTGCGTATGCTTTATGCAGTTAGTATTTAGCTATAGTCATTAGTCATTGTAGTCACAGTAGCTGTGATAATTAACATCAGCACACAAAGGAACATGACACAAGTAACTGTCCCATTTGGGTCATTACATCTTTTTTGTTGTCTGGTTGTGTCTGAGGGGTTCGAATTAAAATGTGTATGTTTATATATTTTTTTGCTTGCTTTGATTGAAGCTTTTTTTTTTCTTTCAGCTGGTCAGCTTTTAGTTCCTTATGGGAAAGGTTTAAAGTGTAAAACTTTGAGAACATAATTTAGAACAGAGTGGTATGAATGGGGGGAAATAAGCTTGCTTTAACCATGACATCAAACACAGCTGCCTGAAATGTCAGTCCAAACTGAAAAAGGTTTATTTGTTAATGACAACTCCTGAGTAACTGTGTCTATATTTGAAACTTGAGCAGATTTTTAACTTTTTAAAGTTACAGTGGTAAAAATCAATAAGTAGCTTCAATCAAATCCCAGTAGCATTTAGACCAGACCAGACCAGACCAGACCTAGCAATGCTCTGAACTATTTTAACACTGAGAACTGTAATTGAATTCTAAGCAGAACCTGTCTCCCTTCATTCTCTGTAATACATTCATGATAAGAGATAAATAAAGGTCACTGAGGGTGAAAGAAAGGGGGGAAATTATCTGTGAGTGCACTGCTGCATCCACCACATCCTCTCTTGATTTACACGACAGTGTGAGCCTCTCCCTCCCGTCACTGCACCAGCTTACATGACATGTTTATTAGAGCAGGTAAGTAATATTGGATATGACAGATTCTCTGTAGTGCCATGGGGGTGTCATCGATCGCACGGAAGCCCTCCAGCGGGCTGGATGTGGTTTGTAAACCAGTCAGATGTCCATATTCACTCATGCTGCTGTGCTCTAAGAGAGCCATTTCATGTTTCATTTATTCTCATCACCCAGCACTTCTAGCACACATTATAGATTTAATAAAGCGAGGTCAGGCGATGGGTAGCGCTTGATACACCCTTGTTTACTCTAAATTTCTTCTGGGAAAAACAAAGAGAAAACAGTGCTCTGGTATTTAAATTTGGACAAACACCCACATACAAAAAAATGTTGTGCTTGTGTAATTGTTTGTATTTTTTTAGTCACTGTTCCTACTCAGTACACATGGTCTGTTCTTAGTTAGAAAGCATTCCTCAGGTGACGCATTCAGTTATTATTATGAGTTAAAACTTTGGATAGACCACTGGTACTGTAGGAATAGAGATGACAAAGCGATGGTAGCATGAATCATTGTGCAGTACAACTGTGGCAATTACAGGAACCCGACCACTACAGGGCATCACAGTTATTTGTAAGACAAGCTGAGTACAAAAGCTTACAATACTAATGCAAAATAGCCCAAGTGCTCAGTTGCTCTGCACAGCATAGGCCTCTGACACAGATGCTTCCCTAAGTGTCTTAGTTTGTAAACCACTTGGTTCCCCTCACTGGAAAATCAGCACTGCATTGTTATTAGCCTGGGTAGCAGATTTGTTTTGTGCTCAACAGTGCAGCATTGTTGGCTGGCCTTGTTTGGCAAGACAACATGATGTTGGCTAGAATACAAACTCTCTGGTAGCAAGGCTAATAAATCGCTGTACCTCCTCACACCACTATAATTCTCCCAATTTTTGCTCTCAACTTTGTATAATTGACTGCCATACATCCCGATAACACATTCTTTTTATTTGTATTTGTGTGTTACTAGAGTGCTGACCATGAAAAATGGGTAGGTCCATCAGTTTGTTCATCCATCATGTTGTCAGCGTGCATGACAGACGTACTTACTGGCAGTTAAATGGTTGAAACTTTAAGTGCTTTCACTTAAAGCAACGTCTATTTCTTGACTGTCTTGAAAGCTTTATTTGTCATGTATGTAGCTAGAAGACAGGTAGTATATTTTATACCACCATTATTATACCACTGGTGGTACATTTAAATGAATTTTCAATTAATAGAATTAAAAGGACACTTTTTTGGGGGGGATTGACATCCTCAAGATAGTAAATTAGGCTTTTTCCTCGTCAGTGGTCAGACTAGTGTAGAGACAATTGATTAACTTGTCTCAGAGCTCTTATGGTAGTCTAGAAATAGACATCCATTGGTACTGTCAAACTGTGCTCATGATTAAAATGTCTTTGCCTGTATACCTTGTGTGTAAGCGCTTAAAAGTCTGCTAATCATTTGCTCAAGCGTTTATTATCCCCGTTTGTTTTTTCATGGACTAAATTCAAGCCTTGATTTACAACTTGAAATATCTCTGCTACATATCATAAATTTAGCTTACAAGTGGTATCCTTGGTCATTAATTTGTTTAATTTAGAAAACCCACATTTTGGCAGGAAACTCTCTTTGTGGTCTCGGTGTGCTTCTGTTTTCTCTGGGTTTGGTCTCTAACATCAATTGATTTCAAGAGTACTGACAAGAGGAAATGTCCTGAAATCAGTTTTGATTTCAGAGTCTTCACATGCACAGCTGTTGAGGATTATTCAGTGCACTTTTAATGTTTGGGATCAGATTACTGGATGAATGTTTTCATTATTATTATTATTATTATTATTATTATTATTATTATTATTAACTACATGTCAAACATTGTACATCACAATGCATATGATATTTTAATGTGATTTTATTAAGTTAATGCAAAGCAAATTAAGCTGTATGTTATCCAGTGATTCGAAGGACAGCACATTAAATATGTACATGAAAGTCAATGTATCAGGTGGCACTTAGCAAATTAAACTGGGCTGAATTTTTTTTTTTCCCTCCTCCTTGGAAAATTGATTACTTTGCTTTTTCTCATCCTCAGGCCATTCCATATGAGATCAGATATTAACTGTACATTTAGGAAGATCCATTAGTCACAGTTTGCTATAAAACCTTCAGAAGCTTTACAGCAAGCCTTGGAAAAAAAAATGGACAGTGATTAATTCTTGTAATTGTAAATGAGTATTGGCAATTGTACATACACATCACATTTTTAAATGCAAGCAAGAATATATTTGTGGGGATTATCTTAGTTACTCTAGGTATTAGGTTAGGTATAGTTGGTCAATAATGATGAGCGTCCAGCAAAAAAGTAAGCATGGTAGAAAATGAAATCCTTGTCGTATGTGTTGCAGAAGCTGGTCATTGGTCAGAAAGGCAGATTTTACAGGATTTAATGCAAGCCTGTTCTTAAAAAACACAAAACAAAAAGAACTTAGTTCCTGCTTACTTACCCTTTTAATTCCTATGGAAGCAGTAACAGCCAGGTACTGCTAATCAAATACAGCATATTAACTGATCTTCAGCAAGTTTGACCAGCTCTGTAAAAGAAGAAGTTCTGATAGTTTACTGGTCTGGATTTTAACATATGCTCATAACCAGGAAAGGACATTTCAGCAAAGTCAACCCGAGGTCAAACTGTGCAAACTCTACAGGTCTGTTAGCATGTTAAAGTTGATGATGTGGCAATTAGAAAAATACTGAACAAGTATGCCGTGTTTAGAGGGGTTGCCAGGAGAAATGAAAACATGGCAGCACCCTTTAGGTTTGCAAAGTTGAATCTGAACAAATCACTAGGCGTCTGGGACATTGTCCTTTGGCTTGTCCTTTCGGTCATTATGCACAGCAAAAACGCCTCATACCAACTGTCAGGCATGGCGGTGGAGCGGTAATGATCTTGGCTTGTTTTGCAGTCACAGGACCTGGGCACCTAGCAGTAAGAAAGTCAACCATGAAGTCCTCTGTTTACCAAAGGTTTGGTAGAGTAAAATATGAGAATATCTGTTTGAGAGCTAAAGGTTGGCTATAATTGGGTCATGACACAGGAAGACGGCGGCAAAGTCCAGACCTCAAACCCACTGAAATGCTGATGTTAAGAAAACTACAAATAAACACATTCCCACAAACCTCAATGACCTGAAGCAACATCGTAAAGAAAAGTGGGGCCAAAGTCCGTCCACAACAACGTAGGACACTGAAACTCATATATAAATTGATTACTACAAGATACTGAAACATGGGATATGCTTTTCACCTATTACTTTAGCATTTTGGCTTCATACCCGAAACCGGTATGGCTCAGATTTGTTTGTTTGTTTTTGTTTTGTTTTTTAATGCCCTGACGAGTAAAACGTTAGAATTAAGGGGGCCCGCTTTTCTTTTATATTATATATAGTTATAAGAAGTACGGGCGATTTTGTGTGAATGAATTAGACTTTTATTCTGTACCATTTTCAGAAATTAGATTGGAGTGAGAAGAAAAATGTTTACCGAAGATTTCTTAAACTTGTTTCAGTCATCAATTCTATAAAACACCAAAATGATAAAATCACGCTACCTTTACTTTCCAGGAAGTGATTTCTGCAGATGTGAAAGTAACTGTTGGCGTTACTCCATAGAGTTCTTTCAAAAAAATTCATGGAGTCCACATTAGTTCAAAATCATGAAATATGTTGCTCACTGCAACAGCATGGCAGTCTTTAGATTCAGAGACAATAAATGGTAGTATGAACAATTCATTGTCAGTTTTTACCTCTTTATTTCCATCTCTGACTAGAAGAAAAATACTTCAAATCACCACAATTATCCATAAGTATACAGCGCACATACCCTTTATCCTTTTGCAACAAAATACGAGACAAAGTAAGTGAGACAAAATACTGTCTAGCAAATTTCATAAAACAGTACTAGCTATTCATGATACAGTGCTTATACTCAGGAGGGGCACCACACCAAAGGTCACAGTTCCTGGCAGTGATGTGTCAGCATGACAGCAGGCCTGAAATACAGGCTGGCTCTCTCTCGGTACCCCCCCTCCCAGCTGTTGCTAGGATACTTCCCCTCCCCCCCCCCCCCCCCCCCCTTTTTTTTTTTTTTTTTTTCTTTTTGATCGAACCTTCCATTTCCTTTTTCGTCTCACTTATTCAAGCCATCTGGGTGAGACTTTGAAGCCAAATGAGAATTAGCTAAGGGTCGTATTCAGGGGACCATTGGGAGTTCCCTTTAAATTAATTTGAATGTAAACCTACCATTAAATACAAATTAATGTTGACAACTAGACTAGAGGGGAACCTCTATGCATTGCTTGAGTGAATGCAGGGCCTAATCATTGTTTAAACTGTAAAGAAATGTTAAATCCGAGTGGATACTCTAAATGTACTGTAGGTGAGAAGAAAGTGTCTGTTTACAGCTCTGATAATACGACTTTTAATACACGTGTGAGCTAAACTGTTTTAACATTTTGCAGTTTAAGGCCAAATTTGCTAATTACATTAAAGCAGGACCTTTAGAAATTAACAAGAACCTTCTCGTGCGTATACGTATGAATCTTTGAGTTTGATTTAATTAATTCATTTAAATGTGAGCTGACTCCATGAATGCCAGAACCTTGCTTGTGCAGACCTGGTTTAGTTATTGCTGCTTATGGTCATCTTCTTTTTTGTTTTTATTCTGCTGCTAGAGGTTGATTAAAAAGGTAAGAAGCAATTTCTTTATTCACCATGATGATAAAGGATCCACTCTTTTTTTTTGCTCATCTGTTTCCTCACATTTCCTCAGGTGTTTTGCTACCAAACCTCACAGTTATTCTTGTTTGTCACAAGAATGAGCAAGTTGTCTACTGAGTGTGATACTATCTATGTGTTTGTTTGACTGTGAATGGAGTTTTTTGTGTTCCTCTTTTTCTCTTTGCCGCTTGCACTTGGAATGGTGATCTTCAGTAAAGGATATTTGATCCAGGACGTCCCATGCTTTGCTCGCACAGAGCGTAAAGCCACTCGCACTTTAATAACTGATGCAGAAGTAAAGTGGGAGATACTAACCTGTCAGGGTTCAGAGGTCAGGAGTGTTAGGGTATGATAATAATCTATTACCTGTTTATTTCCTGGCAGGCGGGTCAGGGGGGTGGACACCGGACCCTGCTCTATGGTCACGCCATCCTCCTACGCCACTCCTTCAGTGGCATGGTGAGTATTAATGTGTAAGAATGACAGAAAGCTAAAAGGGACAAGGATTTTCCTAGCTCACCATGGGGTCTGTTTATCAAGTATGCACGAGTTAACATAATTGGTCTTCATGTGGGAAAAGCAAAGTCTGTTACATTATTGATGACAGTTGCTTTTTTTTTTATATTATTTGTTCCCATTTGATGAGAAAGAAACCAAAAAATGAGTATATAAGACTCCAATTAATATGTAAAGTAAATGTATTATTATGTTGGAGATTTTCTTTTAGATCTACCTAAAAAGAATCTTTAATGAAAAAGCCCTGGTGTTTAAAAATATTAGAACCATGACGTGATTGTGAAGTCTTCAGTTGCTTTCGATTGAACTGAAGTTGGAAAAACATAATCTGCAATTCACACAATTCTTTGTAAAAGTCTTGAGCCACCACTTGTTTCTTTTTATTTCATTTCCAAAAAGAAAGACTGTCTTTTTTCTATAGTGGTCTTGAACAATAGTTCTTAAAGCTTTCTGGAGATCTTTCAAATATTTTCTTTGGACTTTGGCTGCTTTGTCACCCATTTTCAGTCCAGTCCTTGAACCTTATACTTTCAGAAGAATGACCTACAGTATGATTTCAACATAAAAAGCCACCTAACTCAAGTGATGAACCGGTTTTGCATCTGCACATAACACAACTTGGTAAAGAACCAATTTTAAATTGTATCTTTACATACGTTGTTACTAATGGCCTGTTGGAAAAATACACTTTTTTTTTTTTTTTTTTTTTTTGCTAAATCTACAAAAATAAAAAATAAAAAATAAAAAAACAACAGTAACACAGTTTGGCAGAAATTAAATGGTATTTTTTGCACTAAGGTCACCAAGAGAGGTGTTGCCTTAGGAGTACCTTTGCATGATGTGTAGTCCTTAAAAAGTTTAAGGAATATGGATAAGTGGAAGATGAACTTATCAGGAGTAAACAAAACACAAATCTACAGCAGATGAACAGGATCTCCATGTATCTGTCCTTTTAAAAAATCAACAAAGAGCTGACAAGAGACCTGATATATGGCTCTGACTTGTCAGTTAATCCACATACTGTTCACCGAGACTTGGAGCAACGATTCTGGATTTTACAGTATTGTTTTAATATGTATTAGAAGAGGTCAGAAAAGAAGTACAGTAGTGAGTGTCTACAACCATTTGTAGAACATGATGGAGTCTCTACCATAGTTTGGGGTTACATTTCATCCAGTGGGGTGTTCTTGTCAAATTTGATCAAATTAAGAACGAAGAAAGCACCATCAGATTTTGCTCGACCATCCAGTGCCATCTGGAAAACACTTTACTAGCAACTGCTTCATTTTTCAACATGACAAACATCCCAAACACATTGCCAGCGGAGGAAAAGCATGCATTAACTGCTAATGCAAAATGAACACTATCAGTCATGGACTGGCTTCCCCAGAGCTCAGACCTCAACATAATTGAAGCAGTGTGGGATCTTAATGGAGAACAGAACAAAAGGCAGCCAACATCGAAAGAGAAGCTTTGAATGTCCTTCAACTGTCTTCTAGAAGAATTTCTGAAGACTACTTGAAGAAAAGGCATGAAAGCTTGCCTAAGAGAGTTTAGGATAAGTTGAAGTATAAAGGTGACTTTCAAGCTTATTAGAATTGGACAAATTCTGTTTTGGTTTTATATCATTTATGTCCAAGTATGTTTGCACCCATTTTCTCATTTTTATATTAAAAAAAGAGAAAGAAATAAGACCTGGCTCGAGACTTTTGCACAGTAGCATTTAATCATAACTTCAAACAGAAAATCAATGAATGAATTCCTTACTAATTGATTAATATACTAATTATTTAGCACTAAATTCAACCCCAGTATTCTAATGAGACACTTTAACATGAGCTGAATTCCTCTTATGGCTAGTCTTAGTGTTTCATTTGACCTAACATTAGTTCATTTTTCACTCACCAGTACTTGACCTGTTTGAAGACATCAAGGTCTCTGACAGACAAGCTGTCATTTGATGTCGGACTGCAAGAAGATTCAATAGGTATGGTATGACTATTAGGCACTTCAGAGATTTTACTGCTTTCAGGTGAATTCAGCCTTTGGGAGTGATCATTTCAGGTTGATTTAACTTTGAGATTGAATTATTGGGAGAAATACTCAAACTCCACGTGTATGTGTGTGTGTGTGTGCACAGTACAGCTATATTTGACATTTGAACTAAAGCATAAGGTCATTTATCATATGGAAACAGTTCCACTGCTTCTACAGGATCTAACCAAAGACAGGAGGGATTTTAAAGGGCATGTATGTGTCTGCACTGCTCACTAGATTTTCCCAAGCTTTATATTCCACTTGTTGCCACTTATTTGAATATTATTTTTATGTGTATTTATGTCAATAGGAGAGTCCTGCTGGTGGACCATTCACCCTGCATCCAAGCAGAGATCTGAGGGAGAGAAAGTCCGCATTGGAGACGACCTGATTCTTGTCAGTGTGTCGACGGAGAGATATCTAGTAAGTCACATCTAAAAGAGCTTCACAAGAGCAGAAGGCATTAGAAGCGCACCTGTGACTGAGGTTAATGTATGCATGATAAACCAAATGACCCCTCTGCCACAAATGATGACCATTTGAGGGGAAATAAACAGTTTTTCCAGTCATATAGGATTCATTACCAAGAAGCATTATTACAACAAAGAAATAATCCACCAAATGTAAATTTCCTTAGTTTTGTCCTAGTGTCACAAGCAAACAAGCTGTGTAGTTTTATCTCCAAGACTCTGTTTCATTGTTTTGGATAAGAGATGAATTTTATTTTTTTTTTAATTGAATTCTGACATTGCAATCCAGTTAAACTTTATCCACCTGTAAAACTGTAGGAGTAGCTTGACTGAACCTTATCAATAATTTAGGCAAAACTACCTCTTCTTGTGATGATGTGGAAGTTATTTAGCATCACAGGAAGCCATAAATACGATGCATTAATATACAAGCACATGGCGTATATTTTATTTGCAGCTTTCTAAATCAAAGCAACATTTACCAGCTTGCAGAAAAGAAAACAACATAATTTACTCTTCTGGTAACTTTTATTATAAAAACACTGTAGTTCACCAAAGTACTTAAGGACATCATTTATCCACCCACTAAAAATGAGGATGCAGCTTTTAAACATGATGACAGATTAATTGTAGCAGTTTTCATTAAATCAGATGCTCTTCCTTCATCTTTACTCCAGATTTCTCTCGTGAATGTGTGCTGTTCTTTAAACAGTCAGATTACATCAGAGTCACTCTTGTGTTTCTGATACTCTGTGTATAATCTCTCGCTTTCTTTTGTGTGGTTTGCTTGTCAAATCTCACCTAGTTCAGATATTTTCTGCTGTTGTTTTGGAAGCTTTCTTATTTTACTGCCAGGTATTTATTTATTTTTTATTATTCTTTTTTTTTTAATATCTGAGGTGATTTGTCTTCCTCTAAACTCGAAAGACCAAATGCGCCGTATGCAAAGAAGAGTGGTTCTGTTTTGAAGATTATTTGCCCCACATAGCTGGAGTTATCTGCTTTGGTTCACCGTCTGCCTGAAAAGGTACTTTGGAAAGTTTCGTAGCACTCGGATAACCCTGATATCGGTCTCACTCTCACCAACTTTGGAGTGACAAGGCAATTCAGGAGGGAAACTCAAAAAACCTTCGTTTGCTATCTGAACTAGAAATCAGATTACTTCTGAATCCCCTCCCATGCCCCCTCCACCCCCATGCAGGTCCTTTTTAATAATGTTTTTTATGAAACTCATCCGCCTGACTGATGAGCTTTGAGTTAATGCTGTCTCCACTATGCAGAGCTATACACCTGACCTCAATTAACTTACATGGAAAAGAGAGGAGAGGGGGATTTGAGGAGAAACAGAGGAAGAGGCAGCGCGAGAAATGGCAAAAGTGAGGGACATTGACGTGCCTGGCATGGGAAAGTGACTTGCACTCTCTTCTAGTGGCCATACCAGTCCTTCGGGGAGGAAAATATGCAATTAAAGCAAATCTGCCAAAGATACTGTAAAGCCTGTACCTGCAGTAGCTTGTCGGAAATTCAGGTATTGAAGAATGGGACACCTCAGAAATGCAAAAGCAGTCACTGCATTATTACTGTCATTCATTACATCACAGTGAATGTATTGCTGTCATTTAGGACAGGGGCATTTATGTCTTTTTATCAAGTCAGGGTGATTTTGTTGGATAAATGTGAGGATGATAAAAATTGTTTTTGAGAGAGACAGTGCATAGATGTTTTGACTTGGCATGTCTACTGTTACAGATTAAGACATTTTTAAATGACATGCTAGGACAAATACAGGCAAATGAAAGAAAACTCAATTGGTGCTCATATTATCGTATGATAGTATGATGTTTTCAGGGGAATTTCGTAAAGACTTGTTTTCATGTTGTAGAATATATTTTGGAACAATTAAAGGACTTCCTAATGGTGTTCTAGGGTGTGAGCATTGGCAGCTGCTAAACCCTTTTGCCTGTATTGTATGTGTTAGAAATCCTTGCATCAATGCTTACTTGGGTGTAGCTTAAAGCTAAACTCGTATCGACTCTTCACTTTCATCTGAATGCAACCTACCAGGAGTAGGTGTTTTTCAAATGTATTTATTTTTTCTTTCTTTCTTAATTTTTAATCTCAAAGGAATTATTGCATTATCTGGGCATGTTACATGGAGCAGTGCCTTTGGCCTGCAGTGATAAAAGAGATTAAAACATGTCGTCCTTCTCATGAGAAGGACGACATGTTTTAATCTCTTTTCAACTCCAGGCGCTTGGACATCTTCCTCGTCTGTGCACTGTTGCTAAATTGTGTTGTATGTCCCTGTTTTCCTGCTGCTAACACAGCTGGTTAACTCAAGGTCAACTGTTCCCCGCGTAACTGTGCTTCTCTTTTCCAGCATCTCTCTATTTCCAATGGCAACTTTCACGTGGATGCCTCCTTCATGCAGACCCTGTGGAATGTCCAGCCTACCTGCTCATCAAGTAACATGGCAGTAGGTAAGCTTAAAAACCCCAACAACCATGTTAACATATCTTTGTGGTGACCAAAAATTGGAAGCTTACTATACTTGTGGGGACCAACAGGCCCTTATGGGGACAAAATCCCCGTCTCCACAAGTTCGAAGACATTTCTGAGACTCAAAATGTGATTTTTAGTGTCAGGGCTACAATTAGGTTAGGGTTAGGTTCAGACATTCATTTTTGATGCTTAATGTTAGGGTAAGCAGCTAAGGAAAGCATTATGTCAATTAGATGTCCCCACAAGGATGTGAAAACACAACTGTGCGTGTGTGTGTGCGCGTGTGTGTGTGTGTGTGTGTCTAAATAAAAAAATCTGTTTAATTTAAACTCACAATTTTAAGTTAATGTTTCAAAGAAAGTTCACCTTTTTATAATTTAAAAATGTATTATTTCCTGTCATCATTTTAATGTACTGATGGTGTTTGAAAAACAAAGCAGCCATATATTAGAATAAATGATTTCTTTTTCATGAATAAATGGAACTTCTTTTTTTTTGCCTTTTAGGTTTTTTAATTGGTGGACATGTGATGCGTCTCTGTCATGGGCATGATGAGAGCCTGACCATCCCTGGAGCAGACAAGAGTGAGGAGGAGCAGAGGTTAGTAATTTAATTAATTAAATTAATAAAATCTTTCAAACTAACCATTGGGGAAAATAGTTTTGAGGATGATTAATAATAAACTAAAAAAATGTTGTCACTTTTAAGCTTCACTTTAAAACTGAAATTTTTTTTTTGTTTTTTGTCTTAAGCTGTGAGGAAATACTGCAAACGTTTACACTTACCACATATGTTAAAGTTATAGGAGTTCAAAATTTACTTTTCAATCCACTTTTTTGTGTTTGTTCTTTTGAAGAAAATTCACCTGAGGCCTCTTTTTTTCTTTTTTTTTTTTTTTTTTTTTTCTTTTCAATCCAAACTCTTTCTGTTGTAATCCTGTGTGAAGGGTTACAAGGCTGTTATTTATTGAGAAGCACTGAAATAGCCTTCAACCCAACAGTTTTTTTTCTCCCTCCTGAGTCACTATCATAAAATATAAGAATCTCTTGTTTTCTGACCTGCACAGTGAGGTTTAAGCAGGAATAATCATATATATGGAGACACTGTGATATTTTTCTTGAGAACATCAAAATGTCTCCAAAAACAAATTAATCTGGAGCCAGATTTCCCTCGGGATCCAGTTCACAGAGGGTGTTTTTAGCTTTAACAGAAGCATACCATGTTGGACTGTTCATGTTGTTTCTGTCACTTAAATTACTTAACTGAGGCCCACATTTATTTCTTCTGCTTTTAGGATAGTTAACTATGAGGCTGGCAAGGGAGCATCAAGGGCCCGTTCACTGTGGAGAGTGGAGCCACTGAGGATCAGGTAACATCTGACTCAAAAACACAAATAAAATAAATAATATATGTTTCTCTCAGAAATTACACAAAGGGATTGTTTTATTTGAGTGGGATATAAAAGAACATGAAAAAATTACATATTATTATCTAAACTGGATGAGGTGAGAAGTGGTCGGCCTAAAAAAATTACCTACAGTAAATAAACAGTATCTGAAAGTTATGTCCTTAAGTAACTGGACACAAACAGGGGACACAGGACTTAAAATCAATACGGCCGTTCAATTAATCCTTCTACTGTTCACTAACGGTTCTTCACAAATGGTCTCAGTGGAAAGGCAGCTGTCACAAAGCCATTCTTAATGATGGAAATGGGGAGAAATTATTTTGCCAAATTACACAATAATTAGAATAACAATCAGTAACAGAATGTCTTAAGGGGTGATTATTCCAAATTTTGCATTTTTAGTTCAATTTGTCATCAGTTATGGTCAGGAGAGAGGCACAAAGTGTGTCTCTACAGCCATGTGTAGCCATAGCGGAGGTTTGGTCATGGTTTAGAGTTTGCATTTCAGCCAGTTGTTTTGGGGATCTTGTCAAAATTAATGGAATTATGAATGCAGAAATGTACAGTACCATCTGGAAAGCATTGGATTGGCAGCTTTTCAGCATGACTGTAATGCCAAACACACTGTCAATGTAGGAAAAGCATACCTGGATTAAAGACGCACAAACACACATGGATTGGCCTCCCCTGAGCCTAGATCTTAACATTTTTGAAGCAGTGTGGGATCATCTTGAGCGGGGGGGGGGGGACATCAGTGTAGTGCAAACTCTGTTTCTCCATTATATACTATATTCCTATTGAGGTTTCCTTAGGTTTCAATAAATGACTACAAATATTTCCCTTTATTTAACAAAATACAAAGAAATTGTGGGAGGCTATAGGTTCCCAGGTTATATATAAACTTCATCTATCTCTTCTCCGAGCTGTCAGTACCAATTAACTGGCAGAGTTTCCAGAATTCGAGGCTCTGTTTACCACCCGCTTTGAACTACCTCTCTTCTATCACCGTCCCCCTTTCTCGCACATTTTCCTTTAACTGGCCACCCACGCAATTTTTCACCAGTTACATCGGCTGCCAGCTCTCACTGGGAATTCCTGTCAGACTCAGTACACTTTCAAAGTGCCACAGGTGCGACTATTAAGGCTCATGTCTCTACTTTTGACTTAAGGGAGAATTGTGAACAATGTTTCCCAAATTGCATCATCTGTAGAGAGAAACTGGAGCTGCTCTGAAGTTGATATGTGAAATCATTTTAGTTGGTAGTGCAATTCAAGGTTGTTTTTTACATGCATTTGAACATTCTTTTAAATAGGAAGAAGGGAAATATGGTAAATCCTACATTACTGGTGCGATATTCATTTCCTAGAATGAAGTAAGCTTTGTATTTTCAGAATAGTTTGGGCAATTTACGCAAATAACTCAGTTGTCTAGAGCACTTAGATCTAAATATTGTGCCTGCAGAGTCTATATAGCGTGTTTTGTTTTTTTTTTTTCTGTAAAGAAAACCTGGCAAAAATAATTTAAAAACTTCTTTTCAAATATTAAATTATGTCGACAGTCTCAATTTAGAGTACCTGTTACCTGTTATTGCAACAAAAGAATCAAATCAACCCCCCGTTGGTTCCATGGTGGGGAAAAAATAGAAAATGCTGAGAAAGTTTTTTTTTTTTTTCTAGCGATTACTCAATGGAGGTGGATGTGAGAATGAACACATGTGGGTGGGTGAATTCACTACTAGCCTGGAGGCTATATTCAGCAAGCTTCACCTAATGCAAACTGTCCATCTCCTGACATGTGCTGCATGTGAGAAAAAGCATTTTCCAAGCCTGACTCTCCTTATGCTGTGAAAACTATCACAGATGACCAAGTCTAGAAATTTCAGGGCAATGTTGCACTCAAAGCTTGTGACACCAGTTCTCTGTGTTTAGCTGGAGTGGTAGCCACATCCGGTGGGGCCAGCCCTTCCGACTACGCCATCTCTCTACTGGCCATTATCTTGCTCTGACTGAAGACCGTGGACTGGTTCTGCAGGACAGAGTGAAGTCTGACACCACGGCCACTGCTTTCTGCTTTAGGGCCTCCAAGGTCAGTGCTCTGTTTGCCTGTATAAACATACTTTTTCACAACACTGTAAATTATTTTCTCCCTTCCTGATTTAGTATTTTTTTTGTGTCTTTCTCACACTTAAATGTGGGAAAAAAGCTATCAAAATATATCTGGCTCTGTACGAAATAGTAATTGCACCCTTTGTTAAATCTTAAATTAAATGTGATTAACTACTTTTTTTGGTTTTGTTTTGTAGAAAGCAAAGTTTAATTTCCCTATCAGACCTGTTGATTCAAGAAATCACTTAAACAGACTCACAAAGCGAAGTAGAGTTAAAGATCTGAAAATGCAACACATCCTGTCACAATCTAAAGAAACTAAGAAACAAAGTCACTGACCTCTATCAGTCTAGAAGGGGTTTCAAAGCCATTTCTAAGGCTTTGGGACTCCAGCAAACCATGGCTAGAGAGGCATTATCCACAAATGGATAAAACTTAGAACAACCTTGCCAGGAGTGGCCCGCCTACCAAAATTAATCCAAGAGCTCATCAACGACTCATCCAGGAGGTTACACAAGAGCCCAAAATAACATCTAATGAACTGCAGGCCTCACTTGCCTCTATTAAGGTGATTCTTATGATTCAGAAATAAGAAAGCGACTGTACAAAAACATCTTGATGTGCAAAAAGTTTAGGGAACAATTTTTTTTTTGTTTGTTTTTTAACATAGGGCCACGTAGGTTTGAATAACTACCTTAAGTAATAAAATCATAATTTAAAAACTCCCGTTTGTATTTACTCTGGTTATCTTTGTCTAATATTTAAATTTCCTTGATGATCGGAAACTTTAAAGTATCACAAATATGCAAAATCAGGAAGGGGGCAAATACTTTTTCACAACGCTGTATACTATCTGTTTTAAAGCTAACTCTTATGTGCGCTTTGAGCAAGGCAGTTACAAGATCTGGAAGCCGTTCTGGGGGGTTGATGTAAATAAATGTTGTTAGTTAACTAACCTCATTAAAAGAGGACTCAAAATATCTCACCCTGACTACTTCATCAACAACTCCCAAAGCGAGTCTCTAAGCCCTTAATGAGCTCATGCCATTCCACTATAAAATAACCTTTTCATAGCTGCTGAGTTGACAACACTGTAAACGTTGGAGCAGGCAGTCATGTTGTCCATGTGCAATTGCAGCTGGTTTGCATATACTGTAGCTGTTTTCAATTAGGGAGAAAAAATAAATTCAGCCTCACCACTGCAATATTAAAAATAATTATGATGCACTGATAGTGTTTGTTTTTTTAGATACATACTTTGTAATCTCTTATTTGCCTTTAGTCATTTCTTTCCTGCAGTTGCACATCCATTTTTCTCCCACTCTCACTCTGTTGAACTCTGAGGGTTTGTGCGGCTCTCATTTGATAGCATGTAGTCCAAAAATAATGACTTGACGCTGGATATAACCACGAGAGAGGAGCACACGGTTTACTTGAAACAGTAATGGAAAGTCTTTTATTTATTCCCATGAATTTGGTACACACTGTTGTGTAAGTTGTGCAGTAGAAGGTAGCACAGGAGTGTGATAAAACTACAGGTTGTGTATTTTTTCTTTCTGTTGAGCTGTAATTTTTTTTTTTTTTTTTAAAATTTCTAATTTGGCTGTAACTGCTAAATACATTTAAGAATCGCTCTATTTTACTTACATAAAGGTATTTTTTTTTTTTTTTTTAAACCACACCCAATAGGAGAAAAGACTAAATTTAGATGTATTTTTGTGCTGAACCTCCCTTACCTGAAGAGATCCAGCCTTTTTTTTGGGGGGGGGGATTTACTGTTTTTATATGTGAACAATCCATAATTATTATCCTTTGTTAAAATCGCTACAACTGCATAAAGTGCACACTGAGTCACCTTCACAGAGCTCCATTTGTTCCCATGGATATCCCTTTATCCCCAGTGGATGCAGTGTAAAAATCCCTCTGACTCACATCACTTCAAAGTCTTTTTCTATCGTACTCCTGGCAATGCAGCAAAACATTGCTCTTACTTAGAACTCATGTTTCTTTAGAAGAATATAGATTGTTTAATAACCCTCTTATTCTCCATCCCTTATCCACACCCCCTGCGCCTGCTATTTCCTGTATCTGGAAAGGTCAAAGCTTCGCCATGTTGAGCATTGGCTTTAATATGTTTCGCGCTACTTGCTGTCGACTGCAATCAGTGGCATCGCTCCATCTCTGCTGTGCCAGAAATGTAGCAGAGCTAATGAGGCCGGCAGCAACCTCCTGGCAGGCCAATGAATGCATTCTCCGCAATCGGCATCTCTGATTACCATCTAATCACAATACATCTTCATTTGTCACATTTCCAGGCGTGTGTGTGTGTAATTTCTCTGTGTAGGTTCTCAGTCATCCACATCATGGTAGTCTGAGGAGCTTAAAAGAAAGAAGTTGTTGTACTTTGTGAAGTCCAGTCCCCTTCTTTTCTGCTTAATTTGCACCATTGAAGTAAAGTATCGACTGGCTTATATATTATTAGTTGGAGCAGATGAAGGGGTCAGTAGCAGAAGTGCTCTGCTCAAGAACTTCATTATACTACCTTGATTACTTTAGTGTACAATATGCTGAGATGGAGTATTTTTTCCAATAAAGTCATTTTAGCATAAACACAAAGGAAACCTGGGGCCGGTCAGCAGTACTTCTTTTGTTTATTGGTCATGTAAAATATAATCAAGTGACTAACGACAGTACAGTGCGCTGTGCATATGGAGGTTGAAGAGAATTTGGTGCAAACTTATTAAAAGTTTGTCCTTGACCAATAAAAAACAGATTACCTGGCTATTTTCATAGCAGTTATTTTGACATTCAGCATGAAGAGAGATGTAATAATTAATATTTGTTATGGTCATGTTCAATTCAGGTGGGCATAGCTGCTGGTGTTGCACTTAATGGAATGGGACCATAATTACCTTTATCTTAAATATACACTGTAATTATACCCTATGAAGGGTCTGAATAAGTGTGAAGAAGATCTATTCAGCTTCTAATTTGATTCATCTAAATAAACATAAACAACGTGTATTTTATGTATTGTTTTGCTGTGACAGTACTGCAGGGACAGAGCCCTGGTCAATTTATTTTCATCAAACAGGCAAAATTAAACTGTTCATTGAATGGTCCCATCTACATCACAGCTACATTAGTAAAAGTTACTGCAAAGTCTATTGATGCATACTCAATCATCTAGGTAAGAAAATCCCAGAAGGCTGAAGGCTGAAGTCCAAATCCAAGTTTTAAAAGAAAAAAAAAATGCATTTACCCTTCTTTTTAGGGGACCAAGACGAGATGATTTGGCATCTGGCGCCTGGTAGGACAGCCACAGTCCTGTTGCCACATGCATGATGAAGCACACAGAGTCTCCGTACTTGATCTCTGGCACGCCCATGCCATCAATGTCCCTCTTTGGGCCAGTATCTCCCTTTTCCTGTAGCAGGAACATACACAGATTAGCAAAGAGACTCAGACGAAATAAAATCTACACACACACACACACACACCACACACACACACACACACACACACACACAGCACACACACACACACACACACACACACACTCAACACACAGCACACACACACACACGCACACACACACACACACACACACACACACACACACACCAGCACACACACAGCTCACATACACACACTCTCACACA